CCCTCTCCCTCCCCTGCTGGCACTCCATCCACCTAATGTCGGACAAATTCGGCACCATCCCCATGTGGCAAGAAGCCATCGACCGAAAGTTCTTCAACGCACCAGGTCCCCTCTACGGCCGAGCCGAATTCGATCAACTGCTGCACGACTACGCCGCCATATCCTCCGACACCCCGGCCATCGCCTTCTCTGAGGAGTTGCTCAACGCGTACCCGGAGGCCAAAGTAGTGCTAGTAGAGAGAGACATCGACTCGTGGTACCAGAGCTGGATGAACGGCGTGATTGCCAACACGTATGATCCTATTGTGACCATCATATATACTATTGACCGGTGGTTCACGCACCCGTTGGGCAAGGTGCATAAGTCGACGTTTGAGGGGTGGTTGGGGATTAAGGGACCCGAGGATGCGAAGCGTGTCAGTCGGGAAAAGTATAAGGAGCATTATGAGTTGGTGAGACGGTTGACGCCGCCTGAGAGGTTGTTGGAGTTCAGGTTAAGTGAGGGGTGGGAGCCGTTGTGTGAGTTTTTGGGTAAGCCCGTTCCTGAGGTGCCGTTTCCGCATTTGAATGAGAAGAAGCGGTTGGATGAGAAGGTGAAGATTGTGATGTGGAGGGGGATGGTGAGGTTGGGGTGGAGGATTGGGTTGTGGGTGTTGGGGCCGGTGGTGGTGGCGGCGTTGGTTTATAGGGCTATGGGGGTGTAGGGTTTTTAACTAGGCTGTGGTGTTGGATGCTATATTTGTATTGAGTAGTTCACTAATGGGAAGCTTTTGACACAATCAACACGAAGAGAAAACAATACAAAGAAACTTGAATAACCCCAAAGCCAAGAGAACGTATTCTCCACATGTAGTTTGTGTGATCACTATCTGAGCAGATGCTGTTACTGTGGCCCAGACGAACCATGACAATACTGTATACTCTGTCTGATTCTATAATCCAATTATGCTCAACATACACCGAATACAGACCAAACGAGCACTCCATTCCCACTCAACACCCAGCCCCAAAAACCACCAACCTAACTTCCAACGATCTACCTAAAAGATAGCCATACAATTCGGCGGACTCGACACCCCCGTCTTACAATTCAACGGACTCGAACTAACAAAAAACGTCCACCTGCCCAACCTCTCACATACCTCCTTCAACCCCTCCAGATCAAACATCTCCCCAACCGGCACTCCCCACCCGGCCAACAGAAAATGATGTAAATCCCACTCCTTTTCTACCGGCGGATACACCTCAAAGCTGACCGCATCGCCCGCCACAGCCGCGAAATGCTGGTCCCAGAGGAACCGCACCACGCGCTCACTCTGCTCTAATCCTGCATGCTGAGGCATTTCCTGTTGACTGTACTTGACTTTCTCGTCATCGGTCATGTTATCCCACGTTGTGGGGAGGCCAACGCGCAGGAAGAGAATGTCGCCCGGTTGAAAAGTGATGTTGCATTCCTTTGCAATGGTGAGGACGTCGTCGAGGGAGACGGTGTGCCGGGTTAGGGCGTTTACTGTGATGCCCTTGATTCGCTGGATGTAGGAGGCGTAGTCGATGAGGACGCCACGGCCGGCGATGCCCTTCTTGGCCCAGTGGGCTATGCCGATGCGAGCTGAGGACGGGTCGAGGATCTCGGTGGAGGTGGTGCCGCCGTAGAAGACGCGGCGGTCAGGGTCGTCGGGTGTTGGGGCTGGGGCGTTGTGGTGTCGTAGGCCGTCCCATTGGGAGGATTGCTGTGGGTTGAAGTGGTACTCGTCGTCGAAGGCGTGGCCTTCGCTGACCCATTTTACCTGGTGGGCGAAGGGTTTGCGGCCGAAGCCTGTGTTTTGGTTAGTTGGTGAGAGACGATGGGGGTGGAAGGAGGAGTACCTGGTGGGTTCAGCTTCTCCAGATCCCAGTTGAGGCATACGCGCTCGCCAGTCTGGATCTGGGTGCGTGCTGCGTTGGCCACGACTTCTGGGGTGAGGAGACGGAGCATCCCCAGCCCCTCGTCGGCGGAGTTGGGGGCTGCGGGCCAGTAGCGCCGCTTGTCGGGGAGGTCGTCGTAGGTTTGGGGAAGGGATTCGGCCATGGTTGTTTGGCAGTGGGGGTATGGTTGAGAGGGAGTCGTGTTGTTTGTGAAGAGTAGGGATTACAGGTATAAGTGAAATGAGAGATGGTAAAGAGCGTGAGGGGTTGTTTAGTTGATGATGGATTGGCGGGTGGGGAAGCCATCGGAGAAAGTCCGGGAGATCCATGCGGTGCTTGCTTCACTTAGGGTTCACCCGCGCATTGTTCTGATATACTCTCATATCTAGAATTCCTAATATGGACACGAGATGGTATGTCTAGAAACATCTTGGCATCGTAGATCATACTCATATTCGGTCAGACAGATTATGCAAGGGGTACATCAGATGATACGAGATTGCGTGAATAATCACCTCGGAGGATATTCAATGTGACAGGTATTGCAACACCCAGAATAGCACTGAAAAAACCTTGTCTATTCAAAGATCTGAATGATAATCACAGTGTGTAATAGTCTACCTCGCCTTCTGCTTTCCTTTCACTCCCCCTCCCACCAACCACACTATCAAACCCTGCACACCCTGCAACACCATTCTAAAGACATATTCCAACCAACTAACCTCCCTCACTGCACACCCCCTCAACCGACTATCAGCAACCGGAAACGGGAGTCTGGCCCCAAGCTCCCCGGCCACCCCAAACGCACTCGTAAACGCATCCTCATGAAACCCATACATCGTCCACGCTCCCACGTAACTGATCCCCCGTGTGCCCTGAATTGTCGGTAGCATGGTCTGCGCCCGCACCGCCGCCGGAGTAAACAGAGGATGCTCATACTGAAACACTCCCTGGATCGTGCGCTCATCCGGCATAGACAGCGGATTCATCGTCACCAACACCGACCCGTATTTCGCATGCGAGACCCCCTGCGCCCGGTTCATGTTATACGTAACACATACCTGGTCTGCCGCGCCGTTGCTCAGATAGTTCCAGGTCGACCAGACTCGACGGTTTTGGGGAAGGAGGGCCTCGTCAGAGTGGAGGACTGCGGTGTTGGTAGTTGTTTCGAATGCCGAGAGTATGGATTTCTCTAGCGGAGTTGCTGTTTTGGATACTAGGGAGAGTGCTTGGGGTGCAGGCGTAGCAAGGATGACATGGTCGTAGGCGGCCGTTGTGCCGTTGGCGGTGGTGATATTGACCATGCCCGAGGCTGGTTCATTCACAACAGAGACTATAGGCTGGTTGAGGAAGACACGTTCTGAGGGAAAGCCGGCCATGATGGTGTCAATATAGCTCTTTGCGCCATTTGTCACGCCAAGCCACTCGAGACCCTGCCCGAGCGTATTAAGCAGATTGTGATTGTATCTGATAGCATTAGCTCTGCACCAACGTTATATAGAGATAAAAACATACAAAAACCGGATGAGGGTCACGGCGGGGAATTGCAAGTTGCACTTGTCCGGACTCGTGCTCCACGTCGACGCCGTCAACGGGATTAGGTAGTTGTCGCGGAAGAATGCCGAGTATCCCTCCTTCTCGAGGTACTCGCCTATCGACATAGTATTGTCCACATCTGGGAGACGGAGAAGGTCAGGAGCGAAATGGTTGAACCTCACCATGTCGAACACCATCCGCCACATCGAAAGGGAGAACAGGTTTCTTCTTTGAGCGAAAAGGTTTCTCAAGGAGGAGCCTGCCCATTCAAAAGACCCCGAATCGGAGAATCGTGAAACACTAAACGACATTTCCGAGGGCGTGGTTGGGACATTGATGGCTCTGAGGAAGTTCAAGAAGTTGGCTGTTCCGTTAGACTAGGTCTGAAGTCGAAGAGTGGAAACTTACGATAGGTGGAATTGTTGAGCACAATAAATCCAGTGTCAACATTGACGCCATCTTCTCCCTTCTTGAACTCTACAGTATTGATGTGGCCTCCAAGACGAGGAGCCGCCTCGTAGAGGCAGACCTGGTGAGGGGAGTGCTGGTGAAGGGCCCAGAGGGCAGCCATGCCAGCCGCTCCGCTGCCAATGATGGCTATCTTCTTGCTAAATGATGTTAGCCAAAACTCAGCTATGGTATATAGAGCACAGCACCTGTCTTCCATGTCGTGTAATGAGCGATCTTAACGATATTCAGTGTACACTCTGTAGATCATGAGCGTGATTCCTGCTGGCTACTGGCTATTTATGTCCTAACTTGATACTCTACAGAAAGATTGACCAAGATCTTGTTGCTTGGCAGCGGATGCTACTTCACTCAAGTAACAGCATGACGTGCTTTGTCACTCTGCATGCAGATAAACCGTACGTGTTCATTCCCTTGCCATGCTCCTGCAAGCTAGACAGAAATCACTTCGACCATTCACTTCCCAGAATTCACCGCCCGAGTTACGTTTTCGTAGCACGTACCCCTGGTCTTTGTGTGACCGTTACGTTCAGCTGATGTTGTAGCAGGATTTGGCGGCTAGTCCGATCATTTCATGGTATTCCACCAGATTAGGGTTCTATGCCGAGCAGTCCGAGCGAGATGTTAAGCTCCCGGTTCGCGTCACACTTGTTGATAAAGTTTGGGTTAATGTTGGCTGGTCATCCGGTTCATGGTAAAGCCAGTAATTTTGTCGGGGCGTTAGAAACCCGCAAAGAAAGATAGACTGCGGGAATGGGCATGCGTCAATTTTGTGTCCACTGGACGAACTATCGAGGAGAAGGCGAAGATGACGTTAAGGAGATAGGTGACTAAGTTACCCTAAAGCTAGCTGCAGGGTCACGAATATACGCCGAGATTCCTCCGCCCATAGCATCATCAAAGTATCCGTGGTCGCACAGAGAAATCTGATTTGGGATGTAAATTACGATAGCTTTTTCATTGTACCAGACTTTCAGTAAGTGAGCAGGTTGCATTTGACCATGTGTGGCTACAGGAGTAATTGTTGGGCAGTAGCGTTGAATCAATACCAATAAACTACTGCTCTACCGCACCATATGACAAAGAATTGATCAGACAGTGGTATCATCTGGAGAATAAACCAGACTAAGGGTGGCCAGGAGACCCCACCCCACAGCCAGGAGGGCGACAAGAACTTCAACTTCAAAGATCGGTACGTTCCCAAAGGCAAAGTAGCGACTAAGAAACAACTTCATCACTTGCATCCCGTAGTGCCTCTGCTCAGTAGGACTACAGCTGGTCAGCACGTAGTAGTCCAGGGCGGACAAAGAACGCAGACCAGCACTCGCTGCGGGCCGCCCCTTTCGGAACCAGGCGATGATTCGGAAAGCGAGACAACCGGGTCTAGAGAGTTTGGCAAGTTCTGGAAACGAGCCTGATTCATCACAGAATAGATCCCGAAGCACATTCATGCGCGACACGCGCAGGAAATCATGTCCCGCCAAGAGCTTGAAGACTTCTTCGGCGGTCAAGGCTTGACTCTCTACGAAGGAGGTGTAGAAGTCCGGCCGTAGAACCCGAAATCCAACGGCTTTGTCCGGGCATTTGCTCGAAACTGCACGCGCCGAGGGTGATTGCATGATCTCGACCGCGTCGTTGGCAAACAGTCCTGCAGCGGAATACCGCACGGTAAATGATCCGTCAGTGTTCTCCACTCGATGCCGCAGGTATCCCCTAACAAAATATTCGAGCGAACGTTCGAGTCGATTTGCGCGCCGACTGATTGTTTTCTCCAATGGCACCGGCAGAGACCAGACCCGTAATTTCCGTTGCACATGCAGCATTGCAGCCTGAAAATAGATGCGTGGCTCCGTTAAAGCCCCCACCCACCCCCACGATAAGATCAGCTGGGATCGCTGGTAGGCGGAGAGAGCAGCTGGGCGGATCGCCGGCCCCGTAGCGCGGATAGAAGCAATGAGTCGGACCCGATTGGAGGCAACTAGCACGATCCGACTGTCGATCGGCCTTTCGCACCGCAAGGGATCAGCGGTGGTTAGGGTATATGCCATGCCCTCTCGGGGATTGAACGGTGAAACATGAAAGTCTTTCGACCAGGTGCTGGAGAAGCGGTTCAATGTATGGCAAGGCTGATCTGCAGGATCGGCAACACTAGTGTCCCCAGAAGTTGACCCAGTCGATAGGAGCAAGTACATATGCCGCTCACCAAAGTTGTTGTTCACCTCTAAGATAACCGCGGCCAAGGTTTTATTGATGGAATATAAATACCAGAAAGAGACGGGATTAAAGACATGGCCTAGCACTTTGGGAGCAGTAAGAAGAAAGACGTAGGGGTATTCTTCATCCCGGAGGCGCTAGGTTGAAGATTAGTGAGACACACGCGCAGATGACGGACGGCTTTACCTGACTATGCAGATAGTGACGAAGCTTCCCGTGTAGTCCAGTATGGTTGCCTCTTTCCAGGTAATCACCGGGATCCACGGTAAACCATCCAGAGCCGACGACAGGCGAGTTGTATTTCTCGATACTGTTGCCCCGCCACCGAACAGGCAGCACAACCCAAAGATAGGGATAGGAGAATGAATGAACAACTGGATGTACCCTGGTATGTCGAACCTGACAGGGGTAGAATATCGGCTCAGGCATCCCGTGCAAATCTGAAAATGAAAGAAGTGTAGACATGTTGGAAGAGACGGGCTATAGCATAGTTGGTATTCGTGCGGTGGACTAATAAGAGTGCCAGTCTAGGCGGCATTTGACGAATAAATACGCACTGCACCTGCGCAATAGCCATGCCGGCTCCTTGCCATGGTGAAAGGCAAGGCGTTGCTGCCGTGACAGGCGGCACATATTCACCTGCATGGGTACCTTACTACCTGTGGTATCCCCTTGTTTGAAGAAGCTAATTTGTATGCTGCCATTCTTGTCTGCGTGCTGATTACTGTTCCTTGGCTACCTGAATGCGACCAGCGACGGCGTGTCAGACTTCAGAGAACAGATATCATCTGTGTGCACGGTCTGCTAGAGATCTGAATGTTATTTGCCAATAGACTTTGACAAGAAACTCAGCTCATCATGTGGAGTTGATCACTGTTGCACAAAGTGGGTTGACATGACTGCGTGCTGCTGTCTAGTGAAAATCATGACGTAGGGAGCACCTGAGTAGCAGGAAGTGACTGAGAACCATTCAATGACTGAAGTCTGTCTACTTTGAGGTGAATGGAGTGTTGGTATGTGATGAGTGAGGGGGATTCTATTCGTTGTTCTCATCGGCAGGTGCGAGTCTCTCCTTCTGCCGGATCACGGAACAATATGTCCAACGGGTTGAGGGCCTGAGGCCATTTCAGCCCTCTCAAAATGGAATATATCGTGGTCCGATAACAATTATCAATAAGAGAAGGTTTAACTACTATCATGGCCATTGCTGGTAGAGTGTGCTTCTCCGAAGACATTGATTCCGACCTCGCATTGCAGAATTGGTTGGGTCAGTGAACATTGGAAACGGCACAGGCGGCTATATGCGATTGGGTGCCATGGGGTGAAGGTATGTCCATAGCTTTTATTAATCACCTGGCTCAGGATATAGAATTTCGAGGATGGGATAAGGTTTCCTCTGTCATCTCTGACGATATTAGACAGTATTACCCTCGACGGGAACAAACCGCACCATCAACTTCCTCCCCTTTGGCAATGCAATGAACTCCAAGTGCTGCTCAATATCTTCATCATCCACAACCTCGGGCAAGTAGTTAGCATATACCATCGCTATAACCAGCTTAATCTCCAGAAATGCAAAATTGCTCCCCAGACACATCCTTCCGCCGGTTCCGAACGGATAGAACAAGCGCCGCATGTCATGGATCTTGTCATCTTTCGCATCCATCCAACGCATGGGAATCCACCCCTCCGGAGACGGAAAGACCTCTTCAATCCGGTGCAGTGAGTATGCAGAGGAACTGACCTGTACTCCGCCGGGGATATAATACCCATGTATCCATGCTCCCTCTGGTGGAGTCACCCGGGATAACGGTGCCGGAGCCGGTGCGTGTCGTCGGAGAGTTTCCCGGACGATGGCATCCAGCAACGGAAGTGCATCAATCTCTGCCAACGGAGGCAGTTCTCTTTCCATCCCATCAGTATACCTCAACAATCCAGACAATGTAGCCAGTTCTTCTCTCAGTCTCATCTGCAACTCCGGTCTTTTCGACAGCTCCCACATGATATAAGTGATGGTAACACCAGTCGTCTCATGCCCCGCCACCAAATGATCCAATATCTCCGACGCAACAGCTAACTTCACATTTATATCCTCGCCAGATACCTTTTTCTTTTCCTCCAATCCCTCCCAAAGCCGATCATAAACCACAGCCTGCGTCAGCGGGCCTCCATTCCCTTTTCCAAGACCAACCCCCTCACACAACCCCAAACACCACCTCTCCACAAAACCCATAAACCTATCCTCCTTGCTCATGCTCTTGAAAGCCTCATACTGCCCTAACCACACTCCCCAAGAAGCCAAATCCTCCAAGAATCTTGTCTCACCCTGCGTTCCAAACACAAACGCAGAGGTGAAATCCATCCCCACAGCCTGAAAAACAGGCAACACATTGACGACCTCACCCTTCGCAACAACCCTCCTCAAAAAATCCCCCAACCTCCCAGCCACAATCTCCTTTCCCAGAACCCTAATATCCCCCGACCTAAGCAGATAGCTCTTGGCATATATCCCACTGAGCAACCTCTTCTGTTCCCCGTGAGATTTATTTCCCAGCATACCGACCATATTTGGCGTATGGAAGTTTATAAACGTGTCAGCATAAAACGCATGTTTTTCGAACGCGCCCTGCGTATAAATCGCCCGCAGGCCTTCAAGCGAATTGATGCTGAGTTCGGTGGGAGAAAGGCGGATTATGGGCCCGCGGGCGCGATGGGCGGTGTAGATGGCTTTCACTTCGGTGGTGCGGTTGCGATGGTGGGTTATCCATTTGGTGGTATATGGAGAGAGGGGGTGAGCGTTGGGGACGCGAGAGAGGGGGTCGGTGAAGTATTTGTGGATGAGGTAGATGATGGGGAGAATGGCGATGAGGAGTACAGAGAGCATCGTTATTGTAGTTGTGAGAGGGGAGGGAGTTGTTGAAAAGAGGGATGAATACGAGGGAGACGGTGTTTAAGTATGACGGTGGATGCATGGATGCATGCTAAACCGGACTAATGATTTAGGGTTCGCGGAAGGCATTGGTGCATCCGTAGTGCAGGCAACCAGTCTTGAGTATTGATGAGTTGCTAGATTAGATACTGTCTAATTCGGGGGCACTCTAGCTACTGCTCAACAAGCAGTCGCTAATCTTCTACCAACATTGTGTTATTATCGGACTTGAACAAGAGGATATAAATCTAACCTATGAAGGTATCATCACCTTATTTCAACCCACCCCAGTTCTTGATACAACAAGCCACATATTCTCGAACTGTATACACACCTCAACCCACCTCACTCCTCATCAACATCAACATCAGTCCCCATCGCCACCTCCCTAGTAGCTTCCAAATCCGCCTGCAACGCCGCAATCTTCTCCTCCAACACCCTCACACAATCCCTCCCCAACGGCATCCTCAAAGACCCATATCCCGCATATCCATTATCAACAGCTACAACCAGAGCCCTCGCTGCTTTCTCAGGATCGCCCTTAATCCACTTCGTCGCCGAGCCCATATCCTTTGATAACGCCATCATCTCCTCAACCGGCGTATACTTGTATACATTACTGTATCCCCTCTCCAATCCAGGTCCACTAGGAAAGACCTGTCGGCCCGGGAATGGGGTGCGGAATGCACCGGGCTCGACGATTAATACTTTGATGCCGAAGGGTTTCACTTCCTGGGAGAGCGATTCGTGGATCGCTTCGATGGCGAATTTGCTGGCGGCGTAGGTGGAGCGGGCGGGGCGGGCGATGATTCTATATTTTCAGAACAAAGTTGTTAAGCATGATTTCTTGGGATAAATTGAATTGACATACCCAGCTCCACTACTAATTAGAATGATATGTCCCGACCCCTTGTCACGCATAATAGGCAGACAAGCCCTCGCGGCCCGGAGGGGGCCGTAGAAGTTGACTTCCATCTGGGCGCGGACTTCTTCTTCACTAGAGATGGCTTAGCCACGGCCATTGACACACCAAAGTAGATATTAAATATATCATGGAAAGGAATAAAATGAAAAGCGTACCTTGTATCCTCCACCGCCCCAATAAACGCATACCCCGCACTATTCACCAACACATCCACATTATACTCGACAGCTACCTCCGAAAACCGCTCATACGAACCATGCTGAGCAGGATTCAGACATACCCAGATCCCTCCATTGGAAGCGAACTCAGGATAAGAAGTCTCAGCTCCATCAATGTCACGCGTCGTGCCAATGACCCTGTGATTGGCAGTGAGGGCCGCGGCGGCAATGGCCTTTCCTAGGCCTGAGGAGGCTCCGGTGATGAGCCATGTCTGGTATGGCTCTGTTCGCATGGTGTATAGATCTTAAAATTGACAGTGATGTATGATACAAAGCTACAATGCGAGGAGAAGGTACATGCCTTAAATGTTGGTAGCTGAACGGAGACACCGGAGTTAAGCGCTTAAGTCCCCGTATTCGGGATATTCGTCTACGAAATTTGAAAGGATCCATGAAGGTTATCTGCGAGCACGAATGAGAATGGTTGGTGTATATTTATGGTGCTTATGTGGATCTGTCATCATCTAGTAACATCGATATCTCCGGTCCAAGTAATCTGCACTCAACACACTATCCCCATTGTTACAACTCTGCACCACCAACCCGATAAATCTCATTATACCCCCCTAACGCCACCTCCTTAAGTGTCTCTCCATCCCTCCCCGCAAACCTCCCCGGATCTAGCCCCTCCTTGATCTCCCCATCCACCTCCTTCCCTTCCAACACATCACACAAAAACCTCGCAGTGCCTGCCGCATGCGTAACCCACACTGCAGCAGCCAGATACACGCCCTCTAACCCAGGAACCTCACCCACAAGGGGCAAGTTGTCCGGCGTCATGGAGAAAATCCCATTGAATGTTTCTCTGGGGGCGAGACCTGTTTCGGATGGGATGAATCCCAGCGCGTGTTTCAAAGTGTTGTCAAACTCAGAAATCCACTCGCCGATGGCGGTACCCTTTGGTTCCTGCGCGACAGGAGCGTGGTTGTACGAGCCGAGGCCGTAGAAAGGGCCGTGGTCGCGCGCATAGACGTGGTGGTCGGGCCAGCGGATCCATGGGGATGGTACCTTCTTCTGGTCGTGGTAAGGCCCGTACATGTATGGATGAGCGACGGGGACGATAGGGATAGGGGTATTAATGTCCGATAGAAGCTCAGGGGCCCAGATACCCGTAGCGAGGATGACAGTCTTAGCGGGGATGAATCCAGCTGTACCTGTGTTCACGCCATCCACGCGACCATTACCATCTTTATGAATACCAGTAATATCTGCTTCGATGCACTCGACGCCTCTAGCGCGTGCTTCATCTTGATAGAACCTCGTGATACAGGTAGCATTTGCTGCACCGTCACTGGCGAAGTACAACGCACTTGTGACATCCTCCTTCTTGATCAGGGCTGGGGCCATGCGGGCTGCTTCCTCCGGGGAGATGAGTTCCGCAGGGAGGCCTGCTGCTC